CCCCAGAGCCCTCCGGGATCCTTCCCCAGCCCCTGAACCCCAGCCCTGGCGTAGTCTATCCTTGCAGGACAAGACCCCTCGAATTCCCTTTTACCGCCCCATCCTGCGTTTTAGAACATCAAGCCCCCCCTAATTGTTGTGCAGGGCTTATTCAGCCTCTCCCTCACCAATAAAATATTTCCTGCCCCCCGACTCTAAATGACAGGGTTGGGGACTGGAAGGAGCAGCAAAACTTGCCTACAAGGCAGAGACAAAGGGGTCATGCTGCCAGCTCCTTGCAGAGCCACTGTTAACCTCTTCCCTGGTGGGACACAGCTTCCAGATTTCAGGAACCAAGCGTGCACAGTCCTCTTTGCAAGGCAAGAAGAAGGGGAGTACGGAGTTAGCTCAGAAATATTTCATTCTAAAGACTTCCAGCAACCAGGGACACCACACTCTCTTGCTGAGAAAAAAGCATTCAAGAAGTTGTTTTTTTCCATGACATGGAAAAATGTGGAGATGAAAGTGTTGGTTTGAGGTCTGAAAGCATGCTGAAAATCCCAACAACATGAGGGTTTAGAGGAAGAGCTGGTTGTGAAAGACCTGTGGTTGGAGAAATGGAGTAAACTCTGAACCCTCAGTTCCCACTTTTCATCCCCAAACCTGGGGAAACAGTGGTATTTCATCAAAAATAAACTTATTTTAGCAGGGGAAGGAAAGGGTTCAGGAGGAAGTTTCCCGCTTATGTTAGTAGTTGAAGGCTCTGCTCTTGGCAAGGAAATGTTTTCTTCAGATTAGGGAATATTTCAAACAGCCTGAAGCGCTGGGGGTAATCACACGGATGCTTCGCTCTTCTGCTGTTTCCTCTTAGTACTTGGCAAGAAAAAGCAGATCCCCATCTTGGCCAGACCCGTTCTGTTCATTCCCCCCATCTCTGTTCCCAGGAGGAAGGATGAGGCCCCTGCTCTGCTGCTTGGGGCTGGTCATGCTCCTGGGGCCCTGCCTGGCCTGTCCCAGTGCCTGCTCCTGTTCCATCAAGAAGAATGGGCGGCTGTTGGCTGAGTGTGCCTACAAGGATCTCCAGGAGGTACCTGAGGGGCTGTCCTCCAACGTGACCATCCTCACCTTGTCAGCCAACAGGATCGGTTTGTTGGGGCAAGGCTCTTTCATCGAGGTTCCCGAAGTGCAGTCACTGTGGTTGGGCTACAACCAAATTGGGGTGGTGGAGCAGGGGGCTTTTGCCTTGTTGGTGCACCTGAAGAACCTGGACCTGAGCCACAACAAGATTGCAGATTTTCCCTGGCAGGATCTCCGCAACCTCAGCAGCTTGCAGATCCTGAAGATGAACAACAACCGACTGTCCGGGTTGCCACGAGATGCTTTCCGCTCCCTGAAGGACCTGCGCTCCCTCTGGCTCAATGACAATGAGTTGACCACCCTGGCTGAGGGTACCTTTGACAACCTGCCCTCCCTGTCCCAGTTGCAGATCTTCAACAACCCCTTCAACTGCTCCTGTAAGGTCTTCTGGCTGAAGAAGTGGACTGAGAACACCTCTGTCTCTATCACCAAGGGTGGGTCTACCTTGTGCGTGGCTCCCGGCAGGCTGAAAGGCAGGGCAGTGATGGACATCCCTGACCACCACTGCATTGCCCCCTCCGTGCAGCTCACCTACCTCTCCAACCTAGACAACACCGTAACATATGATGGCCTCACCCTGACACTGCACTGCAGTGTGGCGGGCAACCCTCCACCAGAGATCAGATGGAAGATCCAGACCTCCAGCCGCCGTGTCGAGATCAACGGGCCAAATGTGGCACGGGATGGAAATGTCAAGCAGAGCCAAGAGCGCTTCTTGGTCTTCAAGAATGGCACCATGGCCATCCCCAACTTCGGCAAGGAGGATGAAGGCACCTACACCTGCCTCGCTGTCAACGATGTGGGCACACGGGATGTCTCAGTCAATGTCGCGTTGGCTGGGTCAAAGAATCCAGCTGAAGACCTGCTTCAAGATGACCCCCAGGCCAGCCACCTCGGGGGTCAGAACTGCTACAAGGGGGATGAAATGGATTTCTCCAGTGCTGGAGAAAAGCTGGTGATCGTTTACCACATACCAAGGGAGTCAAAGAGCGGTGCTGGAGGAGTGGTGCCCCAGGGCCACCTGGGGACCTTCCTGCTGGCTTTGGGCATTGTGCTCTGCTGGTAAAGGGGAGGGTGTGAAGGAAACAGTGCCTTGGGGGTTCCCCCTCTTTCTGTAGCATTTATCTTCACATAGTGCCATGCCTTTGCTGAGCTTCTGGGAACTGTGGGCAGTCAGGAGATTCAGGCCCAGGGCTGGTAGTTCAAACCCTCCTTAGGTGGGAGTCAGAGCTAGGCTCTATTAGCTGAGAGCTTCAAACAAGCTCAGGTGATGTAGAGCAGATCCTCCACTGTGCTGCTGCTTTCCAGGCATCCAAATCTGTCACCTCCTGACTTATCTCCCTTCCGAGACCAAAATGTGTTTGCAGGATTGAAGTCCACTCTCAGAGTGACCATCACCCATCCCCAGAGCCCACCACCACCCACAGCAGCCAGCCATGACTGGGGAGGGGATCTCTCACAGAGGATCCCATCAGTCCAGCAGGACCAAAGATGACATCCCCATAGTCGCCAGTGCCCAGGCCCTTGGCTGGCCAGGTGCATCTTTCCTACCACCAACCTCGCGTGAAGCACCAGGGGCAGAAGAACCAGTGTGAGGGCAGAGGAATAGCCTGGGCATGAGGTCCTAGGATCTGGGGTACAGAGATACAGTGGTGCTTTGTAAGCAGGATAGGTATGGTAGGACAGTTGGATGGGGCCATGGCTTGGATCAGGCTATTTTGCGGCTCAGAAGCTTTTCCACAAGCTTCGTCCCAGCAGGAGCACAAAGGGCTCCCACTGGATGGGTGCTGGGAGCACACAGGGTGCCTGCACCCTCCCTGCATGTCACAGGATCAGGCCCTGCCACCCTCAGTACCTCTCCCAGATATGATGCAGCTGATTTTCACGCCAATTCCCTTCCACCATTGAAACCTGAGGTCCAAAACGCTCAGCCGGGCTGGACCCACTGAGCTGCACTGCTCTGGCTCTGACCCCAACGGGGAGGGATTGAGCCCAAAAACCACCGAAATAATTTCCCAGCGCTCCTCTCTGATGGGAAGCAGAGCAGGGGCTGTACGTTGGAGCGAGAAGAAAGATTGGTAAAACCCAGATGACAGAGAGAGAAGCTGAGCTGACCTATAAGCCATAAACACACTCCTTAAGTGCTTTAGCTTTCCATGTGGGACATATATACCATACCCAGCTGCCTCAGGGTGCTGGGGGACCTGCTGTCTCATGACATGGGGTTGAGCATCTCCATCTCCTCCACCCTGAGATCCAGCTCTCGTGCCTTCTGCCAGCGCTCGCTTGTGGGAGCTGGATGGACCCCTGCAGCCACCCTCTCCTTGTAACTGAAGTTGTATGGCCAGCAAAGTCCCAAGCGCAATAAATACCTTTGGGTTTTTCTTTTTTTTTTATTTTTTTTTAAACAAGCTGGTGCATGCTGTCTCTGTGCTCCCCCCTAACCTCCAGCCCCACCATCATCTGGGGTACCCCTACTCATTATCAACTCCCTTTCCCCTCCATTTCTCCCAAAGCCCTCCCAGCACTGTAGCATCCCTACCATGATGACCATGGAGTGAGGATGCATTTATAGGGTTCCCAAAAAACTCCCCCATCACTGCTCACAGCCAAAATCAACTGAAAAGCAGCTGTCCCAGGGCCTTGGACCTCCACATAAGCTCTCCAACCCGCTGATCTGGTGTTTAGCCAGCTTGTAGGGTAAGGAAAGGGACAGCTGAGGCGCTGCCACAATCCAACACCCCTTAGGTTCGGCGCCGAGGTCTCCATGGGGGTCTCGAGACAGAAACATCCAGAGACAGAAACATCCAGCAGCTCCTCACACGAAGGGCCTTTGATACTAACAAGCAGGCACATATTTTTCCCATTACAAGCAGAAAGGATGAAAAGCATTGTGGCCTCAACAAGAGTTTCAGTTTCATTTTGTAGGATCCAAATTTCAACATCAATTTTATCCCAGCTGGGTTCCTCCTGTCCCTGCCTGCATGGGAATAACGGGGGTAGAGGAGCTCATTCCCACAATCTCAGCTAGGAATGGGGTTTGGAGCCTGGGATAAGCATTTAAAAAAAAAAAAAAAAAAGAAAAAAAGATGGAAGCTCTAAGCCATGCCTGAAACTCTCTGCTTGCCTCGCCTTACAGAGCTGCTGCTCCTCTGGCTTTGCTGACATGCAGCTGTTTTGTCACCAGAAAAGTGACTTGCTTTGCATTTGCCAAGTTTACTCATAGCTTTTATGGCAAATTATTAGTGATATCAAGCATCTTTCATTCATAACAAACAGGGCAGTCTGCCATGCAGCTCCTGGGTTGGATGCTACCACACTTGGCATCACCATCCCCACCAGCTGGTGCAAGTCCAGGATGCCACAAAACCTCTGTTCCTCACTGTCCCTCACCCTTGCAAAGCCACAACATGACCCAGACCTGAATTTCCTTTCCTCATGTGGGCATTTTGTTGTTGTTGTTGTTAAGGGCTGTTTTCAGCCAGATCATCTCCCTGAACCACCTGACCAGGGGTTGGGTGGAGAGCACTGCAGATTCCCAGTGACGTTGGGAGTTTAGAGTGGTGGTGAGAAGCCACCATGTAGAAGAAGAGCTCAGTTCATCCCTTGGGTACCCTGCTTACATCAAAGAAGGGAAAGAAAACAAGCAAATTGATGAAGCCACCTCCTGTCTTCTTCCCAGGGCTGTCAGCTCTCACCTCCGTCCCAGCTCACCATCTGCCAAGACATCTCCAGGAAGCCTCAGGCAGGGCTGTGTAAACAGATGCTGAAAATCCAGCTCCACCCATGACCCAGAGCTAGGAAAGATTTCAGGGATTACCAAGGCTGCCTTCAGAGCCCCAGCTCCTGGGAGGCTGGAGATGAGTTGGGATGGGCTGCAAGGGAAAGTCATAGCCTTTGCTTCAGGGCATCCCTTCACCCGATGATACATGCAGGAGATCCAGAACCCCATCAGATGTCCAAACCCCAGCTGTGAAAACAGCAG